ATGGCGGGCGGGCGGAGGCAGAGGCGCGGGCCGGCCGGCGGGCGAGCGCTGCTGCTGCCCGCTGTGCTGCTGTGCCTGTGCTGCCGGGCGGCGCCGGAGCGGCTCCGCTACGCCATCCCCGAGGAGCTGCCCACAGGCTCGCTCGTGGGGCCGCTGGCACGGGACCTGGGGCTCAGCCCGGACGAGCTGTCGGCGCGCAAGCTGCGGCTCAGCGAGGACAAGCAATACTTCACCGTGAACGAGGAGAACGGGAACCTGTACGTGAATGAGAGGCTGGACCGGGAGGAGCTGTGCGGCGAGTCGGCGTCCTGTTCCGTCAGCTTCGAGGCGCTGGTGCACAACCCGCTCAATGTTTTCCACATCGAGGTGACCATCAAAGACGTGAACGACAACTCCCCGTCTTTCAGCAAGGCTGCTCTGGAACTCGAGATCGGTGAATGGACACTTCCAGGTGCCCGTTTTCCTCTGGAGATGGCACAAGATGCAGACGCGGGAAGCAACTCACTGCTGACTTATGAGTTCACGAGCAACCCATCCTTCTCTCTTGCCCTGAAGGAGAGACCAGGTGGAAAAAAGCAGCCGGAATTAGTGCTGGAGAGAGCGCTGGATCGGGAGAAGCAGAGTTCCTTTGAGCTGATGCTGACGGCAGTGGATGGTGGGGACCCTGCGAGGTCCGGAACTGTCCAAATTCGTGTCAACGTGACGGACGCCAACGACAACCCACCCGTGTTCAGCAAAAATGTATACGAGGCGCGAGTGGCGGAGAATCTGCCGGCGGGGTCGCTGGTGCTGAAGGTGCGGGCCACAGATGCGGACGCGGGATCCAATGGGCGGGTCTTCTATTCCTTCGGTTACGTCCCGGCCGGGATCCGTGAGTTGTTCACAGTCGAGAGCGAGACCGGCGAGATCAGAACTGTGAGACCCCTCGATTTCGAGAAGAAGAGTAAATACAGCTTTGAACTGGAGGCGACGGACGGAGGTGGGCTCACCGATCACTGTGAAGTGAAGATAGACATCACGGACGAGAATGACAACGCACCCGAGATCACGATTCTGTCGCTGTCGAGCCCGGTGCCCGAGGACGCGCCAGCCGGCACCGTGGTGGCCCTGCTGAAAATTCGGGACAGAGACTCGGGCGAGAACGGTGAGGTGTCGTGCGAGCTGTCGGGAGAGGCGCCGTTGTCGATCGTGGCGTCGTCGGGCGGCTCGTACAAGGTGGTGACGGCGAGCGCGCTGGACCGCGAGCAGGCGTCCGAGCACCGCGTGACGGTGGTGGCCCGGGACCGGGGCAGGCCGGCGCTGTGGAGCGAGGCGGAGCTGGTGCTGGAGGTGTCGGACGTGAACGACAACGCGCCGGTGTTCGAGGAGG